GGTTGTGTCTGATCACTGTTCAAACCAGCCGTTAGAAGGAGGTTGTGTAGGCTAATGAGCACACTGGGCACAGGGTCAGCAGTTCTGAATTCTCGAACTGGCTGTGCAACTAGTAACTTTGTGTGGCCTTGGCCTTTCAGGGCCTCCGTTCCTATCATTAACAGCTAGGACTTGGTGGAAGGTCATGGAGTTTCTTTTAGTTCTAACATTTAAGAATCACACAGCCCATGCTGTTAGGTTTTAAGAACACCTGGGCTTGATAAGGTTGCCTGTTTAATCTCAGTAGTCATGTCTGTGTTCTTAATACCTAATGTTTCATTGCTTTATGATTCCAGAGCTCTTTCTGATACATTGTTCTCTTCATCCTCACAAAACCTTGTAGAGATGAAGAACTGAGGATTACAGCAGCTAAGCAACATACCCAGTTTCACATGGGTTGATTGATGAGGGTTGGATCAAAACACTGCTACTCAAATAAAAAAGAATTCCTTCCTTTTTTTCTTTTTAATCCTCACCCGAGGATATTTTTCCATTGATTTAGAGAGAATAGAAGAGAGCGGGAAAGACAGAGAGAAATATCAATGTGAGAGAAATACATTGATTGGTTGCCTCCTGCATGAGTCCCGACCAGGGACGAGCCTGCAACTGAGGTACGTACCCTTGACCAGAATCGAACCTGGGACCCTTCAGTCTCCAGGCCGTTGCTCTATCCACTGAGCAAAACCGGCTAGGGCAAGAGTTCTTTCCTTTTTAAGGCTGAATACTATTCCATTGTGTGTTTATACATATATAGCCTCACATCGTTGTCATTCGTCAGCAGACACTTAGGTTGCTTCTAGATCTTGGCTATTGTGAATAATTCTGCAAAGAATATTCTACCATTTGCAGCAATATGGGAGGACATTATGCTAAATGAAATAAGCCAGACACAGAAAGACAAATACTGCATGATGTCACTTAGATGTGGAACCTAAGAAACGTTGAACTTTTAAAAGCAGAGAGAACAGTGGTTGCCAGGGGCAGGGGAGGGGAATGAGGAAATATTGATCAAAGGGTTTCGGATATGAAGGATGAATAAGTTTTGGAGACCCAGTGTACAGCATGGTGACTGTGATTAACAATACTGTATTGCATACTTGAAATTTACTAAGAGAATAAATCTTAATTTTTTTACTGTATGTAAATCATACCTTCATAACCTGACTGCCTCAAAAAAGTATTAATTTATATTTGCGTTGTTTGATTTTAAAAATTTTTGAGTGAATAATTTTCTGTCAGAAAAACACCCATTCTTTTTTCCCCCCTCTATCTCACCTGAGGATATGTTGTTTTTTAATTGATAGAGAGAGAGATAAACAAAACATCGTTGAGAGAGAGAGAAACGTTGATCGGTTGCCTCCAGTACACGCCCCAATGTGGGATCGAACCTGCAGCCTAGGTATGTGGCCTGACCAGGAATTGAACCCGAAACCTTTTGGTGTATGGGAGGATGCTCCAACCAACTGAGTCACCTGGTCAGGGCAAAACACATTCCTCCTTCTTATGTACCATCTACTTTCTGAAGATGCAAATGAGCTCAAAATGAATAATAGTTCCATTGAGAAGAATTGTCATTAACCAGATCAGCTTGTCCAAGTCTGGGAACCATGAAAAATAGTTTAGAAAGAATCAACTAGTAACCTTTCATGGCTTAGTCCTTAGGACTCACTTCCTCTTCTCTGTTTTGTAAACTTAAAATGCTGCCTCTGTAATCCCTCATGCTTTCAGCATCAGTACTCCTTTTGACCATATAAGGATTGCAAACTGAGGTCAGAGAGGTGATGGAACACGGAGTGTGCAAGATCCCACAGGAAGTAGACACTTCCCTAGGAGTGTAAGTCATTTGAGGGCAGGTACCAGGAATACCGTTACTGATGGCACCAACCTGGGCTCTCTGAGGGCAGGGAGACCCACTAAACCTCTAAGTAAATGTGGATATTTACCTTTTGGGATCACAGGCTGGCAAATTCCTTCCCATACCCCAACCTGAAAGACCAAGCAAGCCTTTGGAAAAATACGAAGCACTGCCCCGTCCAGATGAGGCAGAGGACTGAGTCAGGGGTTACTTCTTAGTCAAAGGGATGCACCAATTACGCATCTTCTCTGTTTCCCCACATGCCTTCCTTGTGCATCATGAGCCCAGATAAAGACCCAGGATTCTTCCCATTCGAGTGCTTTAGGCAGTCACTACCTGCCCACTGGCGTTGGCATGTGTGTGCAGGTCCTTGGGACTGCGAAAATGAGAAGGCGAAATCTAAACTGGCTTAATAATAACAATTTAAAAAAAGAGAGAATGTGTTAACCTCTTCCCCTCTTCCCTCCCTCCCTCCCACCCCTCTGAGATCTGTCAGTCTGTTCCATGCCTCCAAGCCTCTGGACCTATTTTGTTTGTCAGATTATTATGTTCATTAGATTCCACGTATAAGTGAGATCATAGAGATTAACCAAAGACCTCATACACATATATGCATAAGCAGTGGGCACAGACACTAGTGTGGTGAAGGCCTGGGGTGGGGCAGGGGCTGGGAGGAAGTGGGTAAAGTGGGGAGGGGGGAGTTGGGAGACATCTGCCAACAGTCAAATAACATAAAGACCATAAATAGTCTGAATAATAGAGTGGGGGGAAAAGATTTATCTGTGTTTCAAATTTAACAACAACAACAACAAAAAAGAATGTGTCAGCTCATGTGACTTAGAAACCCAGCCGGTTCCAAGAGCAGGCAGCCTGTCCCTCACAGGTGTCGCCACCTCCCGCCTCTGCTTCCCTCCTTCCTGAGCTTTGTGCAGTTTCAGCACAGTGACTGCCCATTCCAGCTCTCACAGTCCTCCTCCCCGGGTCTGATTGTGACAGCAGAGGGAGCAGCTCATTTCCCAATGCTCTGCACAAAAGCGCTGGGCCTGATGACGCGGGGTAGACTCCACTGCGACCCAGGGCCGCAGCAGGTGGACTGCGGACAGCAGGGAACTTCCAGAGAGGAAAGTAGTGCTGTTACTGGAAGGGGAGTGTTCACGTCAGTGAGATGAAACCAGTGTTGGTTACCTCATCTAACGTCGGATTACTCAGAGCAGTTTAGCTCCCAGGCATGCGTCAGAGGGGAGGGGGAAGGGAGCTACATTTGGTTCTTGTGACATCCAGCTGGGTAAACTGAGTCCAGGGGTTCAGCGCCTGCATCTGAGAGGCTGTTCCCATCCCAGTGAGTGTGTTTCCTGGTGCTCCTTGCTCTCTGCCTCTTGCGGGCCAGACTCCACTCAGGACCTGGCCTGTCCCTCCACCACCGTATCCCAGGTCATGGTCATCTTCAGGGCCCAGGTGACCTTTAGCAGAGACAAGGTGGAAGCTTCTCAAAAAGGTAAGTGGCAATTTTAAAAAAAGGAAACTAATGAAAAAATTAAAGCAAAATACAGAACTCACAATGCCCTAACAGGACATACGGTGTAGAGCATGTAGTTTCATTCAAATTAAGTGCAGCCTGGAATCCAAAGAATATTTTGTGTATATATAACCAAACTCTATGACATGCCCACTCCCCACTAAAAAACTTGTAGTGTTCAATACACTCTGTTTTGCATTTTGTGTCTTTCACTGGAGGCCTTACCTTGGAAAACTTTCCATATGAGTATCTAATGAGCATCTTCACTCTCTTTACAGCAATTTTGATGGTTTCCAATACTTTGCTTATTATAAACAACACTGCAACAACGACCTTTATACATATGTCATTTCATGTGCTTGTGATTATATGTGTAAGATAAATTCCACAAAAATGCAGTAGCAGAATCCTAAGGGAATCCTATTGTTGGTTCAGTAGATGCCGCTGACTCAAGGAAACTCTCACCATACCTGAGAGGCCTCTTTCCTAAGGTCCTCACCACTCAGCCTGCAACCAAGTGTTATGTCTTTGCGTCTTTGTTAGTGATGGGATGGCATCTCAGTGTTTTTTCAGTTCAAACTATAGAAATATGAACATTAATAACTGACTCTTCCTTCTTCATGTCTCCTGAATCCCACATCCAGGCTAATTTCCATCATCACTCTGATGATAGTGACCGCATCAGATATATTCGCACCTTGTCTTCACTCAAAATACACCATTGAGATTAAAAACACATAGCTCTGCCTCATTCCTTCATACAGCACGTATTTCCTGAATATTTATCAGGTTTTAGGCCCTGGAGAGAAAGCCCTAAACAAGACGGACACATTCCCTGTCTCATGGGGCTTATATTCTGATGGGGAAGACATTTAGAAATGGATGGACTACCATTGAAAAGAATGTAAGTGCCCTGAAGTGTAACACAGGGTGACATGGTAGAGGGGCCTCGAGTGGGAACAGAATGGCCTGCCCCCCGCCCCTTTTAGAATGTTATGAGCAGACAGTACTCATTCACTATTAATAGTAGCAATTTGTTATTTATTAGTTTTGGCCTGAGCTGGCCAGTTGCTTTGGTATTATGTAGCAGAACTTTAATATCACCATTAAAACTACCCCAGAGGTGCTTGAACTTGAAGCAGAAAAAGCCACTCCAGTTCCTCCATGGGCCGGTGCTCAAAATCCAAATGTCCGTCCAATTCCCAAGGACACAAGGCAGGACTCAGTTAAGGGAAAATCATCTCCTCCTTTCACCAAACTCAATAACCAGCTCAGTGTCTGCTGTAAGTCTAGAAAATCTTGTTTGGACTTGGGATCTAGCCCAGTGAGGTGGTACCCAGAGGACCAGATGCTCAGAGGACTGGGCCAAGGGGGCTGTGTTTCCGGTTCCTGACCCCTGTGTCGGTGACTTTGGACTAGCCTTAGTGGGAGACCTAAAGGCTCTGGCCAGGTAGCTTGATTCACAGCATTGAGTCAACTTGCTGCTGTTCTGACTCTGACCTTGGCCTTGAGCCATGGTTTCCCCTTCAGAAGCCAACAGATCCCCACCTTGGACTTCAGTTCTGACATGTATTGTCTCTTTGTATTTAGGTCCCAGTGTCTCCCAAATGGGGACCTCACTTAGCTCCCACCCATCTCTCCGTGAGGCCCTGGTCCTGTTACCTGCTCTGGTCATTGTCAGCCATCAGGTATGCTGTTCTATGTCCCAGAGGCCCGGGCAGTACCTGTCTCCACCTCATCTCGCTGGACGTTTTACCAGGTTGCTCTTTTTCTGGGTAGCACCCACCACTGCACTTCCTTAACTGTTCTTCCACCACCGTCAGCTGCTCCCAACCGAGGGGCTTCCACCTTCTTCCGCTCGGGCCCAGGCCGTGGCCAGAGAAAGGCTGGATGAGGGAAGTGGCTTCCAACTAACATTTTCTGGACTCTGTGACTCAGTCTCCCCACTTCTATTTCCTGTGCAGCCTGGAAGATGAAGTGTCTTGCTAAGGTCACACCAATGGGCTGGCAGAATGCAGGCTTTAGAATGTGTTGCCCCCAAATAGAATGTGACTTCTACCCTTGAGAAGGTAAAGGCCTTCACTGCCGAGTGTCACTCCTGTGTCCTCGGTGTATAGCGCAAGGCCCAGCACATTGTAGGAACCTGATCAATAGTGGTGAACAGATGAACAAATCTTGCTGAGGACCTGTTTTGGAGCCAGTCTCTCTGCCCTTAGCTCTGGGAACAGGGCCAAGATAAGGCTGACCGATGTGGTTCCTTCTCTTATGGAGCTTAGAGATAAACAAAGACTTAGACCTGAAGCAAGTTATCACGGGAGGTTGATGAAATAATTACAACTATCTGGGCCTTTACAGACAAGAGGACAGGAGCTAGGCAAGCCTCGGAGCTGCCCACTGGAGCGAGGTGGGCCAACCCTAAGCCCACCTGTTCCCTCCTGATGTCTTGTTTCAGAGAGTTGGGCTCTGTCATCTCGGCTAAGGGTGAGGCCAAGCCCTGCTTGAGGGAAGGCAGTGACCTCAGTTTCTAAGAGGCAGGAGCCCTGCCAGACTGTGTCACACCTACAGTGGGGCTGTCTCTTCCTGGAGTCCTGGGCCAGGTAGGGATGGGCCAGATAGAAAGGCTCCACCCATCA